GAACCAGATGCTTCAGATGCGGAAAATCTGGCCATTTCTCAAAGGAGTGCAAGGGTCCTCTAGTTAAGGACGAACTGTACTACAAAAATAAGTACAAGTACAACTGAACCCATAGGATCCTCATAAGAAAAATAGTTCTCTAACTCAACTTCTGATGAGGATGACCAAGCACATTTCTGTAGGATGGTTGTTGATGATGATGCATAAGAGTTTGGATCCGGCTCCAACTCTCAGGTATGTTCTACCTCTGGATCTGCCCAATCTGAATTAAAGCAAATCATTTCTAACTTAACAAAAGATTTTATCGAACTCCAACAGAAGCTCTTAAAAGAAAAGGAAAAGAGAAAAGTGATCGAATATGAAAAGAACTTCTTTAAACGAGAGACAGGGCTTCTGACTGTTGAAAAGGAGGAGCTTTATATGGAAAAGGAGAAAGTTTTAAAAACTAAACTTTCCACAGAGACAGTTTTCAAAACAAAGTGCTCTAAACTTAAAAAAGCAATTCAAAAGAAAGACAAGGAGATTGTTGAGAACGAGCGTGATAAACTGAACTCTTTGGCTCTTGAAAACTATTTTCAAAAGGAAAAAAATTTACACCAAAGCTTATAGAGAAAAGAGCTCTTGATCAAGAAATATCAAGATGCTCAATAGGTGTATGAAAGATCAATTATCAACAAGATAAGACAGGCCTAGGTTATGTTGACCTAGACCTAACCTGGAAGAAGAAACCAACTCTTGAATCTGTTTTTGGTTTAGGTGCAGAGCAAAAACCTGATTTTCCTACTCTGCATGAACCATCACCATTCAAAAGAACAAAACTTGAAAGTGGAGCTAGAGCAAGAAGGCTTAAATTCAAAAACACCTCTTACTCTTATACTAAAAGTGTGCTTGAACCAACACAAGTTGATCTTAAAGGCATATAGAAGAAAGAGGAAATTTTTAGCTTTGGTAACCACAATATATTCCTGTAGTTTGTGATTATCCTGAAGTATTTCCAGAAGATCTGACTGGTTTACCATTGGATCGGTCCATCGAATTCAGAATTGATTTGGCACCATGGCAGCACCAGTAGCCAGGGCACCTTATCGTCTGGCACCATTTGAGTTGAAGGAATTGGTGATGCAGTTGAAAGAGTTGCTTGATAAAGGTTTCATTATACCAAGTACTTCACCTTAGGGTGCTCCGGTTTTGTTTGTTAAGAAGAAAGATGGGTCTATAGAATGTGTATCGATACTAGAATTGAATAAGCTGACAATCAAGAACAAATATCCTTTACCAAGAATTGATGACTAGTTTGACCAATTGGTTGGGACAAGTTATTTTTCTAAAATTGATTTACGGTAAGGCTATCACCAGCTCAAAGTTAGAGACGAGGACATTGCCGAAACAACCTTACGAACCAGATACAGACATCATGAGTTTTTGGTTATGCCTTTCAGTTTAACCAATGCTCCAGCGACATTTATGGATTTAATGAACTGGGTATTTAATAAATATCTTGATAATTTCATTATTGTGTTTATTGATGATATTCTTATATATTCAAAATCTAAAGAAGAGCATGCTAAATATCTTCGTCTAATCCTCGAACTTTTGAAGAAAGATAAATAATTTGCCAAGTTGTCCAAATGTGAGTTATGGTTAAGGGAAGTACAATTTTTGGGTCATGTTGTTTCTAAGGCCGGGGTAAAAGTAGATCCTGCAAAAATTATGGAAATTAAAAAATGGGAAGTACCAAGAACCCCTACCGAGATCCGTAGTTTCTTGGGTTTAGCAGGATATTATTGGAAATTCATTCAAGATTTCTCAAAAATTGTTGCACCTTTAACCAAGTTAACCAGGAAAAATGTCAAGTATGGATGGGAAAAAGATCATAATGAAGCTTTTCAATTATTGAAATACCGTCTATGCAATGCTCCAGTCTTATCATTACCAGATGGATTTTAAGACTTTGTTGTGTACAGTAATTCTTCAAAGCTAGGTTTAGGTTGTGTATTGATGCAAAAAGGAAAATTTATTTCTTACGGGTCTGGACAGTTAAAAGATCACGAGAAACAATATCTGACACATGATATGGAGCTTGAGGCCATGGTATTTGCATTAAAAATCTGGAGGCTTTATTTGTTGGGAACTAAATGTCAGATTTTTACGAATCTTAAAAGCCTCCAACATTTGTTTAATCAGAAAGAAGTGAATATGCGGCAAAGATGGTGGATTGAATTCGTGAATGCCTATGATTGTGAAATTTTTTACCATCCAGGAAAAGCCAATGTGGTAGCTGATGCTCTTAGCAGAAAAAAAAGTGGTACAACCAAAGTAGTTGCGTTGAGAATAAATTTGACTTCCCACCTTCATTGAAATTTTAAGATGTCAAAATGAAGCTACCGAAGAAAAGAACATCAAAGCAAAAAGAGTTGGCAGAATGATATCAACCTTGATAAAGAATGACAAAGGAATCCTACATTTTTAGAACAAAATTTGGATACTGCATTTCGGGAATATGCGGGAGCTAATTTTGGATGAAAGTCACAAATCACGATATTTGATTCATCCAGATAATAATAAGATGTATAGATTTAAAACCATTTTATTAGTGGTCAGGATTGAAGAAGGTAATCGCAAGATGTGTGGAACAATGTTTGACGTGTCTGCAAGTAAAAATCGAGCATCAAAGGCCATATGGGAATTTACAGTCTTTGGAAATTTTGTGTGGAAATAGGATCATATCACAATAAATTTTGTCATGAAATTACCGCGAACTCCAAAAAGATATGAGGCTGTATGGGTTATCTTAGACCATTTATCTAAATTTGCGCACTTTCTACCGATTAAAGAGAATTATCCTTTAGAAAGGTTGGCAAAGATTTATATTGAAGAAATTGTGACTCGTCACGGTGTTCCATTATCAATCATCTCAGATAGGGACAATAGATTTACCTCAAAGTTTTGGGAAAGTTTCCAAAGAGCCATGAGATCTCAAATCAGATTAAGAACGGCATATCATCCTCAAACCTATGGGCAGAGTGAAAGGAAAATTCAGACTCATGAAGATATGTTAAGGGCTTGTATTATTGACTTCGAGAGATCTTGGGAGAATCATCTGCCTCTAATTGAATTTGCTTGCAATAACAGTTATCACTCCAACATCTAAGTGGCACCCTATGAGATTTTGTATGGCTGAAAATGCAGAACGTCGTTATGTTGGAATGAAATGGGGAAAAGGTAGTTAATTGGTCCAGAAATTGTGTAGATAACTTCCGAAAAGATTGAACAGATACGTGAACGTATTAAAACAGCCTAGGACCAACAGAAGAGTTATGCATATAAGCGTCGTAAATCGACTGAATTTTGGTGGGAGATTTCATTATGTTAAAATTTTCTCCATGGAAGGGTGTTGTTCGATTTGGAAAAAGAGGTAAACTCAGTCCAAGGTATATTGGATCGTTCATAATTTGTACGTGGCTCGTTTTGGTTACGTATCAGTTAGAATTGCGAGAGAAACTCAGTTCAATTCATAACTTTTTTCATGTTTCTAACTTGCGGAAATGTTTAGTCGATCCGAACTTGGCAATACCATTACCTGAGGTGAAAGTGGATAATAAATTAAACTTTGTGGAAACTCCTGAAGCCATCACTGACCAGAAAACAAAAGTTTTAAGGAACAAAGAAAATCAGTCTTGTGAAAGTTCAATAGCATTTTCATAAGGGTCTAGAAGCTACCTGGGATTTGGGATCTGAAAGGAAATCTGAATATTTGTGGTTATTTGACTGACTGAATTCCGAGACGGAATTCTTTTGAGGGGTGGATAATGTGATAATCGGGTTTTCGGTTATATTAATTTAAGGTCGTTTTGAAAGATTTTGGTAAGTAAAGAATTTTTAATGTTTATGTGATTACCTATTTTTGTTTATAAATTCCACAGCCTAGGATATATATATATATATATATATATATATAGAGGAGTGATCAAATAAAAACCGTCCTCATTTGTCTAAACCGTGCAAACCACCTTCATCCGTCGATTTCATTGTTTAATCTTATGAAATTTTTTCATGAAATTGTTTAATCTTGTGAAATTGTTTCATATAATACTTTTTTTGATCAAGTTGTTTCATATATGATTGTGAAATTGTTTCATATAATACTTAATTAAACTGTTTCATGTATTTCTCTAAAATTAATGAAACTGTTTCATGTATTTCTCTAAAAATTAAAATAATGAAGATGATAATATCTATGATTTACATCCTCCACAATAAAAATGATTAATCAACCTCTCATAATTACAAAAAAATAAACAAAATGAAAAATTAAGATTGGTTGAATGAGGTTTGCACGGTTTGTACAAATTGAGTGGTTTGCATTTGATCGCTCCCCTATATATATATATATATATATATATATATAGGGTGGTTCAAATACTAACTCATTTTTTGTGTTAACTCTACTAACCAACATCAACCAATCACATTCTTTCTTTACTTTATGTTCAAATGTAACTTATAAATTGAATACAAGGGTCATTTTGTAATTTGACCTTTATGTAACTCCCTAATAATTATTTGGGAGTTACAAATCTTTTAAAATCCCTCTAATTCATCATGAGGTAATTCCGATATTCACGGTGTTCATGGTGTTCATATCCATGTAATGTTCATGAACATTCACCGTGTTCATATAAATGTTCACCGTGTTCATGCGATGTTTCTACAAAAGTACCCTTTGAACCGTTGTTCATAGGCATCTCAATTAATATATTAATTAAATGATTATTTTTATAGTCTCATTTAAGGACCGTTTGATGAGAAAATGAACGATCAAGATCGGGTTAACATAGTTTGCACAATAATTTTGGTTAGTATTTGAACAAGCTCATATATATATATATATATATATTAGTTCATGGAGTATGAGTTTTAAAATATTAAGACTCCACCGCCCAGGGGCGGATGTAATGCTATGGGATTGGGGTCTTGGCCCCCCAATAACCTAAACATGAATGCCCTTCACCCCTAGCCCAGACCATGATTCATTTGTTATTTGTCAAACTTTCCATACGGTGCACGACTCATACCATTCCAAATTTCCAAGACCATCATTTCCTGCTGCTGTTGCATGTTGGCCTGCTGCTGCTGCACATCGATCACTTCCAAGTTTAGACCATCGTTTGATTTGTTTCTTCTTGCTGCTGCTACGGTTCGGTGATGCTACTGCTATGGTTCGTTGTTGCTGCTACACACACCACATCCACTGCCCATTGCTAACTGCTTTCTCATTGCTTGCTTCCTCCCGACCGGCTTCATCTATTGCCACTCTAAATTGGGTAAAAATAAAAAACTAAAGTTTTGATTTTCAATCTTTAATTTTTAATGACTTTGATTTTGTTGTTTGCTTCATAATTGGTGATTTGGTGAATGCTTTATGCTTATGTTAGGTTAATTTTACAATTTTGTAGACAAATGGAAAGATTAGGTTAATTTTACAATTTTGTAGGCAAATGGAAAAGGTAGTTTGTGACCTCAATTCTACCTAAAAATTCATCCTGCTCAAATGTCATTTTATACCATTTTTTATTTATACTTGAATTTAAGATGATAAACCATTGATTTTTATCTTGTTATTGATATTGCTTGAAAAAATGGAAAGATTTTTTAAAAGGATAGCATCAACACCTGAATCGAGCTCTGCACCTTCAATGCCCTATGAAATTGATTTGAACGATCTTCCTTGGGATCCAGCCGATAGGAAAAAAATTTCAAAATATCATCCTAATCAAATAGATGAAATAAGGAGAAAATACTTGATTAGAGGACCTTGTCAACCACGTGGTCATGCATTTCCAAAACAATTTGTCGAGAGTAAAGGAAGACGTTTTTGTCCGGCTTGGTTTGATCAATACGCTAATTGGTTGGAGTATAGTGTAAAAACGGATAGAGCTTTTTGTTTGTGTTGTTATTTGTTTAGAGATCATTATGTAGGACAATGTAGGAGTGATTCTTTTGTAACAGATGGCTTTAATAGTTGCAATAAAACGGAAAGACTTGGTCTTCATGTCGACGACATTAATAGTTTTCACAATAGAGCACTTAAGAAAAGTGAGGATCTAATGAGCCAAGATCGATATATTGTTGTTGCCTTTCATAAGAAAACTGAGAAGGAGAAGAATGAGCACTGAATACAATTAAATGCTTCAATTAAGGCCTGTAGATTCTTGTTGAAGAATGCATTGCCCTTTCGTGGTCATGATGAATCCGAAATGTCTATTTCTAAAGGCATGTTCTTAGAAACATTAGCCTTAATTGGTGATTGCAATGAGGATGTAGGTAAAGTTGTATTAAAAAATGCTCCAAAGAATGATCAAATGGTGTCTCCAAGTATTCAAAAAGATATTGTTGCTTGTTTTGCAAATCAAATACTCAAATCCATTTGTAAAGAAGTTGGTGATGATGTGTTCTCATTGCTAGTTGATGAGTCTAGTGATGTTTCTAAGAAGGAACAAAAGGCGGTGGTTTTACGATATGTTGATGCACGTGGTATTGTTAAGGAGAGATTTTTTGGTATCGTTCATGTGACGGGGACATCTTTTTCAATTCTTAAATTTTCTCATTGATACTTTATTTGCTGAACATGGATTGAGTTTGGAACAGGTAAGAGCGCAAGGTTATGACGGAGCAAGCAATATGCGTGGTGAGTTCAATGGATTAAAGGCCTTGATTTTGAATGAAAATAGCTTGACATATCATATCCATTGCTTTGCTCACCAACTTCAATTAGTTGTTGTGGCAGTTGCAAATAAACATGACGGAGTTGAGAACTTTTTTAATATGCTAGGAATGGTGATCAATGTGGTGAATGCTTCTTGCAAGCGTAAAGACATGCTTCGACAAAGTTACAAAGATAGAGTGCAAGAAGCAATTGGTAAGTGTGAAGTTGAAACTGGAACAGGGAAATACGAAGAGCTTTCTCTTATACGAGCAGAAGATACACGGTGGGGTTCTCATTATAAAACCATTTTGAGCTTGATTGCTTTGTTTCTAAATGTTGTTGAAGTGCTCTAGTATGTTGAATAGGACGGGGATAATGGTTTTAGTCGCACTCAAGCAACTGGTATTTTAGCATATTTGAAGACAGTTGATTTCGTGATTTATTTGCATCTGATGTTTCATATTTTAGAGATCATAGACTTGTTGTCTCGGGCTCTTCAAGAAAACGATCAAGATATTTTGGAAGCGGTTTCATTGATAAGAGGAACCAAACAACTATTGCAACAATTTAGAGAAACTGGTTTTGATCCACTTTTGAAGAAAATGTATTCTTTTTCTGAAGCAAATGGTATTAAAGCTTTGGATATGGAAGACCGTTATTCAAAAAACGGAAGACGAAGGACCAACATCACCAATCGTCATTATTACAAGTTTAATATTTTCAACACTGTTATGGACATGCAAATTCAAGATTTTGGGGATTGATATAGTGAGGTAAGCACTGAATTGCTTAAAAAGTTTTCAAAAGAGATCATAGTTCCTACATCATTCAATCCTAATCCAGACATCGCGGGGAATAATAAGAGGTTACAACGAATATTAAGGTAAAAAATAATTCGATAATAGTTGTATAACTTTCCTTACTAAATTTATTTTGACTATTAGCTTTAATGTAGGGAGTAACTGGCGCCTAGGATGGAACTTTAATGCATGTTATCGTCCCTATTCAAGAACAACATTTATATAGAGCACGAGGAAAGGGTGAATGTTATCAAAATGTTTTGGCAATTTGTGATTTCAACATGGTTTGTACACTTGTTGTTGCCGGATGGGAAGGAATTGCACATGATTCTAGAGTTTTGTCCAAAGCTTTAACAGATAGTGCTATTGGATTTCCATTTCCTCCTCTAGGTATACTATTGATTTTATAGGTAATATATTTACTATATACCATTGAACAAACATTTTATTTATTGTTTTCAGATAAATATTATCTATGTGATGTTGTGTATACAAATACTCGAGGAATTATGACGCTGTATCGTAATGTTAGATATTGGCTCGGAGATTTTCGTCGTCGACGAACAATGAACAAGTATGAAAAGTTTAATCATTCCCATGCGAAACTTAGAAATGTTATTGAACGTTCTTATGGCGTCCTGAAAGCATATTTTCCAATATTGAAAAGAATGACACCATTTACACTTGAKGTTCAAAGAGACGTTGTTATTGCATGTTTTGCGGTTCACAACTTCATACGAAAGGAAGGTTTAAGTGATGAGTTCTTTTCTGAGTATGACCAAACCGACGTGCAAGGGAATGATGATGAGGATAAGGCTTAAGAGGTTCAATCGCATGGGAGTGCTGCTGATCAAACATATATGACTAGTTTAAGAGAAGAAATTACAACACAATTAATGCAAAATGAATATTGATTCTAGTTGTTATGAGACTTCGTTCGTGTTTTCAATTGTGTGTTGAATCAATTAACATATTTCAATTGACTTTTTGAATGTGTTGAAAATAGATGGTAGTTTACAAATGGTTTAAATGATTGGATATTTCAGTTAAATTTAATTGAAATGAATTGATTCATATTTCAGACTTAAGACGTTTTTTAGTTTACAAAAACAGTATTATTGATTCAGATTTCATATTTAAGACTTTGAACGTAAAGACAAATAGTTTGACTGATTCAAATTTCAGATTTCATACGTAAAAACAAACAGTCTAATTGATTCAGATTTCAGACATCAGCACCACCTCTTAAAAATCAAAAGTGAAATCAGACTTCAGACTTCAGCACATCTTAAAAAACAAATGTTGTTATAACTGGGTTTCAGACAACAACGATTGAGGTAACCTTTATGTGGTTATTATGTGAATTATGTGAAAATATGCATGTTTAATTTAGAAATGCAAGAATGATATATGCATGTGAGTGCGATATTATGCATTCATGAGAAAATGATGATATGTGTGTATATATGATAATGTGCATACATGGAATATGATAAAATATGTGAAGGTGCATATGTGATAACATGCTATGTGAAAAGTATTATTTAAATAAAAATGTGATATCTTCGTGATGAAGTAAAGGTGGTTTTAAAATAAATAAACCCACCGTCCAACAAGTTTTATAATAATAAAACCCACCACCGCCTATATTAGGAAATATACAAGGAGATAAAAAGATAAGATTCTATCTTATCTTGTTTTCTTTGGGAAGAACTTTTGAGAGAAAAAGTGTGTGAAGTGTGGCGGTGGAGGAGTTCTTGAGAAGAACTATTGATTAAAAGTGATTTAAGGAAGCTTTGTTCCTTTGAAGAAAATGTTGTGTGTTTAACCCTGCAACTTGTACTTGATAAGGTGATTTTTTGATAACTAAAATCCTTATATAATGTTCTTTGAATACTGTTGGGTTTTGATGGTTTGATATTTGGAAAAGATTGGATTTGGAAACTGTTTTCTAAAAGTTTATAGATATGTGTTTATGATATTGGATTTGGAAACCGTTTTGGAAAGATATAACTGATTCTGCTCTTTAGAACAGTTTTGAAATGATATCCTGTTTTGAGGATTTAAAGGAGATTTGGTATTTGGAAAATTGTTGAAAGAACTTAAAGTTTGATGAATAAAACTATTTTGAAACCATTATTGGTTAAAAACTAAAGAGGACATTCCTTCAAGACGGTTGTGACTTCGGTCTGTCTTCGTTTGGAGCTAATCCATAGATTTTGATGAGAAAATAAGAGTGGCATATCAATGAGAGGTGTACTGTTAAACCCCATAACTCATAATGTAAAAAGTAATGAAAAACATTAAGTGATGAAGAACCAGAGGATCGATGAAGATATCAAGGCAGAAGCGACTAAGTCTGGAGTATAACCAGAGGACCGATGGACGATCTGGGATGCGATGGAAAGAGCATCCTCATCAATTCTCTGGTCATCAACACTTAGTGAATTCTCCAGCAAATCATCCAGAAGCATACAGCGAAGATCTAAAGATAAGGATGATTCACCACACCATGAATGACAGCTGGAGATGACATGTCAACAGCTAGATTTCTAGTTTATCTTTAATACTAAAGTTTATCCATAGAATAGATAAACGTTATCTGTTAATAGAAGATTAGCTAAAATGTCTCATTAGATAGTTATCTTCTCATTAGCTGATTAGTATAAATAGGTGATCTGACCTATTGTAAAAAGAGTCGCTTGAATAGCTTTATGTTCTTCTTATAATAAAAGTGAAATCTTTGAAGCTCAAGATTGTTCTTAACTGTTTCTTAATTTCTTCTTGAGCATTCATAACTTTCTTTGTTAAATCACTATAATTTGGTTATTCTTAACTAGATTATTAGTGTTATTGAGAGATCTGAGATCAACAATTGGTATCAGAGCCTATTGATTGATTTCCCAATCAAAACGATCATTCAAAAATCTCTCAATTTTTGATCTTCTTTCTCGTCAAAAATTACATCTTCTTCTTCAACATTCTCAATGGCCAACTAGAATTCTGCTTATAATGTTGGCTCCTTAACAAAGCCTCCAACTCTTCAACAAGAGGAATATCCACAATGGAAAATCAGAATGGTGAATTTTCTGGAAGGAATGGACAGGAATCTCCTGCGATCTATACAGGAGGGTCCCTACATTCCACAAACTCTTGTCCCAAGAGTTCTAGGAACAAACACCACGGCTGAAATTCCTACCTACTACATGCCCAAAGATGAAAAGAATTGGGATGAAGATGACAAGGAAAGAGTAGAAACTGACRAAAAGGCSAAAAGGTTGATAATCATGGCCCTACCAAATGAAATCTTCCAATCCCTCGACGCATGTTCCACARCCAAGGAACTATGGGATGAACTGGCAAGCCAACTGGAAGGAGGAGCAAAGACAAAGAAAAATCGTAGAGCACAATGTCTCAACGAATATACAAATTTCAARGCCCTCCCTGATGAACCGATACAGAAAACATACGATCGCTTCAACACATTGATCAATCAATGTCGTCGAAACGATATTATCAAAACCAAGGAAGAAAACAACATTTTATTCCTAAAAAGTCTAGGCGATGAATGGACTCAGCTATCTATGTCCCTACAAGCAAACCAGGACCTAGACGGCTGGTCATTTCATGACCTGTATGGAACACTTGCAGCACAAGAGAGCGACATTATGAAGAAAAGGGTATCCATCGGTGGACCTCTTGCTCTAGCTGCCGATGAAAAGGAAAAATCAAGGACCTCTACCAAAGAACACAAAAAGAAAGGCAAGAAAGCATTAGTAGTAGAATCGGAATCTGAAGAAGAAACTTCTGACTCAGATGACGAAATTAGAGCTTTTACCAAATCTTTGGCCTTGATCACAAAGCAGTTCCAGAAGAAGTTCATCAGAAAACCCAATGAGTGAAAAGAGTTTAAGAAAGAAAGATACCAGTCATCTTATGAAAGGAAACCATCCAAATTTCATCAGAGGGACGATAGAAGAGATGGAAGAGAAGAACGGGAAGAGAGAAGAGAAAAAAGGAGAGACGAGAGAAAATAGGACAAGGATGGAAGGAAAAATGACCTCCGATGCTTCAGGTGCAGAAAACTTGGTCATTTTTCAAAAGAATGCAAAGGACGATTGATCAAGGATGCTGACTACTATAAAAATAAATACAAGTATAATTCTAGAGAGCGAAGCTTGATGGCCGAAAAATAAAATTGGGTGTCTGATTCTTCATTAGACGATGAAGACAAAGCGCTCATCTGTCTAATGGCCACGTCCAATGCAGAATCCGCATCTAATTCTGATGACCAGGTATGCAAGTCTTCCTCAAATGAAACCAACTATGTTCCATCGGAACTAGAGTTAAGAGTGATCAAACTTTCAGAAGATTTCT